AGACAAGCCCATACGATAGAACACCTCCCGAAGGTGTGGCACTCCTAACATTCAAATTTCAAGAGTATGTTAGTAAACCTCTAACCAGCTTCCCGTAAACAACAATTTTCGAGTTTCTCCATTTCGGAGCTTCTTATCAGAGATTCAAAAATAAACCACTCTGAAAATAAGAAGCCAAATGCAAGCAGGGGAGCTATATGCTCCTTGAAAGCTTTATACAGAAGAACTTAAACAACACGTTAAGAAGAATTGAAGTATCTGTATTCATATCTCAGGATGTTGTGGAACAATTTCAATTAGAAACCATGGTTACAGTGGTTCCATATGGTCTAAAATTAAATAAGTGATGTTAACAGAGAACTAAGATTTCCAGAATATTTCATCCAACCTTCATTAGCATTTGGAAGTCGTCCTTCCTTTGGAGAAATCTTTGAATCCTGAAAGAAACATGAGGTGACCACCATTAGGATTGCTGTGTATGCAATTAAAATAAGCCAATATACAGAATCTAACCGAAATTAGTTCCAAGTAAACAATTGAAAGACAAAACTCATCCTTAATCACAAGACAAGTTTTATTACATTTCTATAAAATAAACTAATAGTACCTTTCTACCAGGAACAAATTCAATTGTAGGGCCTCCCGTAACTTCAACTGCAACAACACCTGCAAGCTGTAGGCAAATTAGTTTGGGTAGAAGCAGTTGCACTTAATTTATCCACCCATAGACACCTTATCACGAGGTAAGTTAGATAGAAGAATATTAAAGATGATATTGGACAATGCCATACATAATACATGCAACTTTAGGTCACCAATTTTATCTGAAACAGGATTTTATCCGTTAAAGGCAGACAAACGTGGCATAGCATGTATTGCTTTGCCAAAAGAACCGTCAAGATGAACTCCCTTAAGATAAAATCAGTGTTCTCGATCTGTGCAGTTTATGATCGGACATTAATGTTGTAATTCATCAAATGATTTTCTCATAGGAAGGATCTTTAGCAGTCAATTTCCTAATACTCGTACAACAAAGAGTTGATTAACTTTCAAAAGACACAGCAGCCAGATAATGAAACCTTTGAAGCACTACAGCAGATTGATTACCTGATACAAATCTGCAAATGTAATTCTTGGGCATTTAGACCTCACTTGTTCTGCAACCAGATACACATAAACAGTAAGAAAATGTGTAGAGGTACACATTCAAGTAACAACTCATCCAACAAAACAAGTTGAACAGCACAAAGACATACGTATCCTCAGGGGCACATGACATCAGACGACAATTCAAATACAAGACCAGCCAGCCTCACAGGTAACAAATAATCATTTCATTCTGTGGTGACGAATGCTCCAAGCTAAGCTACCGGACCATTACAAGAGGATAGATTACGGCGCATTAAATATACGTTTGCCAACGGGTTAAACTAAAATCCCAACAACATATATAACATCCTAATACCCAGTATAGAACAACTGAACAACTACATGCCATTACAAAGATAATCATAAAAAGTATCTTCAATCATTGATCCATAGTTGTACTCCAAGCTATTCACACCCAATATCTAACAACAGAATAACTGCATGCCATAATCATCAAAAGTATCTTTGATCAATACTCGATAGTTGTACTCCAAGCAATTCAGACCAAAACAACTACATGCCACTGCAAAGACAATCATAAAAAATATATTCCATCAATACTCCATAGTTGTACTCCAAGCCATTCAGACCAAATATCGGACAACCGAGCAACTACACGCCATTGCAAAGATAATCATAAGAAATATCTTCCATCAATACTCGATAGTTGTACTCCAAGCTAGTCAGCTAGAACTATACAGAAAACAATTGAACGTAAACTACCAACAAATCAAAACCTAATTTACCACAAAACTCGAGCGCGATTTTCAAGCCATTGTTAGCTCCGTGAGCGCACTCCTCTTCATTTCGAATCGAACCATTCGGACCTCCAGTCTTCGAGTTCACGTCATACGTCCCCGCGTCATGCCACCTACTCAGCCAAAACCAAAAACAAAAACGAGAATTTACGCCAAACGCAGCATAATAGGTGCACAGTTTTTGCTGGCGATGAGCGCGCGAAGCTCACGACGGGCTCTCTCGATCTCCTTGAGGTATTCCGCGTCGATGATGACTTTCGCCATGGCTAGAAACCGTGAGCCTGTGAACTGGTCTCTTGGGAAGGTTTTTTTTTTGGCGAGAATTTAGATAAGATGATATATATTTCTTTGAATAATTTGACCGGCGCTAAATATAGGGTTGGCCAAGTTGCAGCTTGCAGCTATAGACATGAATAGGACTGCAAATGAGCCGAGCCGAGCCGAGCCGAGTCGAGCATTATCCTTGTCAAGTAGGATTGATTTTTTTTTTACTTGCTCGAGCTCAAGCTTGGGCTCGTCGAGCTCGAGTTTTTTAGCTCGAGCTCGAGTCGATACAAAATTACAATTCGAGTTTGACTCGAAATCAAAATGCTCGAGCTCAGCTTAAAAATTTCTAAGTGGAAAGTAAAATTACCATTAAACACTTACGCTATATATATAAAGGGTATTTTGGTAATTCACATATATCTCGAGCTGCTCGACGAGCTGCTTGACAATGCGAAATATGGGCTCGAGCTCGACTCGAGTTCGGTCAAACTCGAGATCGAGTCGAGCTTTGACTCGAGCGTTCACGAGCGGCTCAGTTCGTTTTTCAGCCCTAAGTGTGAATTGGCCAGGTTCAGTCCTAACTTATAATCTCGGTTTGGACTTCAGGCTCGAGCAAAACAATATTGATTCGTGAAATTAATTGAGCTCGAACTCGACTCTGTTCATTATAATACTAACGAGTCGAATTTGAACTATAATGAGTTAGATTATTATAAAAGTTTAAAAAAAGTACACAAAAACTTTTATTTTAAGTTTTAATGAGTTTTAACGAGATGAATTCTGTTCGATTTCTTAATTTGAATTTAGTTTTATTAAATAAGTCGAGTAGAGGTTGAATTTTAACAATTAAACTCACAAGTCACAAACTACTTCGTGCTTACTTTGAGACTGAAATTTACTTTTATTTTTTAGGTTTCCGGAAATTCGTCAATAAGTATGAGAGTGGAAAACAGTGGGCTTAGTAAGTGAGCCCACGGGTGAGGTATGGGCCGTTTTCAGCTTTTTGTGGGAAAATTACGTAACTGCCTTATAAACTAAAAGAGTTTATAAAATTACCAACTAAAAAAATCATTTAGTAAATTACAAATTAGTTTTCTTAAATACGTGAAACTAATAACTGCTAAATTATACTCCCTCCATTTTGAAATATAAGACGTATAAAGATTTCTCATTTTTTTTTTGAAATATAAGGCGCGCTCAAAAATCAAGACAAATTTTTGCATTTTTTTCCAAATATATCCTCATTGTGTTGAAACTAAGGAAGTGTGGAGTGGTTGTGATTAGAGTAAATAAGGTTAATTTAGTCAATTTATTCATTAATTAATGTCTCCTTAATATTTGTGCAATAACCTTAAATGCCTTATATTTCAAAATGGAGGGAGTATCTGGTAAACTTTATAATACATCCTCCGCCACGACTCTCAATTATAACTGCTACACTTTAAAACTCTCATGAACGCGGTTTCTCTTGCTTACGTTGTTCGAGGGCATTGATTGGGCATTTTTTAGGCATATAATGTTCTTGGATTAAAAAATTGGTGCCGGCTAGAGTTGCAAATTTTTGACTATCTGATCTCTACTTTCTGCATTTCTGTTGTCGAATAAATGAAACTTGGTTGAACAAGATTAATTTTGGTAAAAAAAAAAAAAAAAAAAACTTTAAAATACATCCTCCACATCAATTTTGCCACAAAACTAGTAGTAATATTTATACAAACCATTAGTAATATTTATACAAACCATTGAACCACACAAACATTGTCACACCATCACAAAACACTGTCACACCATATGGATGTCTTTAATTAGACAAATCGAGATGCAATCCAAAACCATTTGATGAATACACTACCATTCCACTTAACATACAAAAAAATATAATTATAAAAAAACAACTATAGAACAACTACACAATTACTAAGAGTAAAACACAAAATTACTCCACTGAAGTTAACGTCTTCTGTCAAACAAGTCTTAACCGGTTTCTTTTCTTTGACTCTTTCTCGATTAACCGACGCTACGGGGCAACCCTAACTCCACGGATTCACCAAAACCCTACGTGGTACTCTTTGCAGCAGTAGTTGTACCACCCGAAATAATAGTCTTCACCTCCGCTCTTGATCGGCTTCTACCTCGACCCGTTGTTTAACCGGGGCGACGGCGGATTAAGGCACATCGCACCACTTCGCGGAAGAATAAAAAATTGGAGGAAAAAGAAAGAAAAATATGGAAGAAATTTAAGAGTGTGATCTGCACCGTGAAAATGAAGAAGAAAGGAGGAGAATTTGAGGAGGTGCATCGAAAATAAATAGGAGAAGAAGAAAAGAGTAAAAATAAATAAAAAAAACAAAAAAACTACCGCTTTAAATTGTCTTTAAAACCACGTATTTATGTAAAAGAGAATGTATAAAAAATAAAAAAACTGATACAAAAAATAAAGATAGATAATGAGTTGTTAAAATATAAATAATTAATATATACACGCATAACACGCCATTAACTCGCTTTTTGCGGTTATCACTGACTAACGTCACTAATTATTGACCACTGAGTATTTTTTAGTCCATACTCCATATATTTTTTTTTCTTTTTTTTTTTACTTTTATGTATCTTATATAATTTTTTTATGTATTTTACTGTAATATCTGGATAAAATGTCTACTAATACATGATAATAAATTTCTAATTTAATTTTAGTGTTGTATCAAAATCTTACTTTAGAAAACCATTTTTCCACAACAAAATTTTGATACAAATCTAAAATCAGCATTATTAATTATTTAATCTGAAATTCAGTATTATTAATTATTTATTAATCATTTATGGTCATGGATCCCAAGCTCTAATAAATTTGTCTGTAAAACATAGAAAAATAAAAATTCAAAATGATTATATTTATGCAATCCCTCAAAATAAGCAACGAAACAAACAACAATCTCAATATTTAAATAAATAATCCGAATAAATTTCAAAAATATATCAATGTATTACAATTTTTGGCATTGACATGAAAAAAAAAAAAAAAACTAATAGCATTAGCCTTATTCTTTTTCGGGCGACCACATTTCACTTGAATTGCCAAAGTTTTTTCAACATTTGGGCACAGTTCTTTGCCGCCATTAAGCAGGTGCTCCCTTTCAAATGGGATTGTGCATGTTGATTTCCCCATGCAAAGCTGCCACAAAAGTCCAAAGAGTGTTAATTTTCGAAACAGTAAATCTATTGTTAGACAGAGTTAAAGTTAACATTAGTCATATTTTTCAATAGATGTATTTCAAGTTGAAACATCGTACTCCGAAAAACAACTTACATAAACATAAACAAGAGATTTCTTAGCAGAATTTTTTGTTAAGAAGATATGACGGGTCGGCCCATCTGACGATTAGACCAACTTACGCAAGGATTTGTGTTTTCAAAGAGTTAAAAATAACATTGTGATAAAAAAAATCTTGGTTTTAGCGTACGTACCTTTTCAACAAGACCATGGACCGCAGAAGAATCACACGGGCTAGGCTTGAAGCTCCCACACGCACCATCCGAGTTCCCGAAGCTTGCAAACTCGACTTTGGTGATTAACTTGTTATCGGGGCAAGTGAGGTAAGCGGCTTTAATTGGGTCAGTTATGTTTCGAAACACATTGTTTTTCCTCTCCCACGTTTTGACTTGTGGGTGGTGGTATTCAGTGATCACACTACAGATCGTGTCCCGATTAACGGTCACGATCTCAATCTTTTCTGGGTTCCCGCCCGTTTCCTCGAACACTACGAGTAGATTGCCCTTTGGCTTCAAGAACTCTCTTGGAATGTGATACCTATACATATGGAATTAGAAGAATTCAAATTTAAAAAAACCCTAAACTATATATAACAAATCACATTTTTCAATTTGTGTGGAAAAACCTAAACAATTGAATAGAAGGAATTTCTTAGAAGTACCTCTATCTATCCATATATATAATTGCTGGCAGAGCAATAAATAAAATCTAATTAATAAAACCTTCATAATTTTCTCGCTCATTTTTTCAAATATTGTAGAAACGTCACATTTTACATTAATAAAGTGTACTAACAATTTTAAACTAATTTACTATATAATATTACTATTAACACTAACTGATTATAATTTACATTCAATTGTATGTGCAAGTTACATAATTATGAAAAATTGTATTGCAATTTTTTTCTTTAAAATAATTTTTTAGATAAAATATTTTTTTGTATTTTTATGCTATTTTTATCTAGTATTAGTTAATTGGCATGAGTGTCATAATTAAACACCTTAAAATCACATAAACAATTGCTATAACAATAATAAAAATAATTGTAATACTTTTCTAACTAGTTAATTGTATGGTCACTCTAAATTACTAAATCATATTGTCCATTAAAATATATGACATTTTAATAAAGATTCATACATAAGTTAAATAATTTATATTTACATTACACATTTACATATAGTCAAAATTTAAAATGTAATACGTCCATTATCTAATATAAAATTTTATATATTGTATACATACATATAATATATAATTTTTTATTTTTCTTTGTGCATGTGCACATGATGAATACTAGTTTAACTTAAACTCTAGATAGATAGAGTGAATAAATGAACTAAATAACTTGCAGACGTTTGATTTTGTGTTAGGTCCGACATAATCTTTTTACAAATATGTATACTTATATTAAAAAATATCATATATTAAAAACAATATTACTAGCAGTATGATATCTGATAACATAAATATGCATTTTTATTTAAATAATATACGAAATCAACTGTCTAATGATTAGTAAAAAAATTTATGAGTAACTCAATGTGTTATTGTTTGCTTACTCTTCTTGAGTGGGGGTCCCATTTGGTGAAACGTAAGAATCCCAATATCGACCAATGCTTTGACCATTGACCCAGACCATGCCCTTTGACATGCTCGGCATTCTAATTGCCACTGGGTTTTCGCCTTCTGGTGCATCAAAGTATGTCTGAAAAACAGAAGAAAAAAAAATATGTGTATGTAAAAGTTTGGGAATAAATTTGTAATTATCATTGCAATTTTTTACATTATTAATTTGTACAATGGTTAATTATTGCATCTTGAGTTAAATGTGGTTCTAGGCAGGGACGGACCTACACTTAAGATAGGGGGGGCCATGGTCCCCCCCAAACATTTTTTTATCTCTTAATAGTATGGATATATAATATATAATATTATACATATATAAACATTTGGTCCCCCTCAAACAATAAAATAAAATATAAATTAAAGTAAATAGAATAACGTTTTGGTTTTGGAGATGCACCACAATTCCACTTCCACTTCTTTTCATTAACTTAATTTATTATTCTTGACTCTATTAAACAAATAAGTAAATTGACCCCATTCAACAAATAATTAAAAGGCAAATGAAGTTGTCTGGAATTTTGGGAGAAACTTGCGACTTACATAGGGCGACTCGACGAGCAGTGAGCAAACCAGAAATATATTAATTGAGATTTGAGTATTCATCTTTTTCCTTATATTTGTAAGTACTTTTGGTTATATCTTATTTATGATATATCTATTTTTTTATTTTTTATTCATTTAGGGTTTCATCAAGTAGAATATACAACCTTGCTATGAGGTTTTCTCTTATGCTTTAGCCTAATTCAAATAATTTATATATGTATTGAAAAACAATTAAATGATTGTTGTGTTACTTGGGTAGTTTGTATAAATTTGATTTTTAGTTAATTTTTTTATGGAGTCCTCCCATGTATGTATACAGTGATTCAAATAGTGAAATATGGAACTCCGGTATTGAGAAGTGTTTTGGGCCTTTTGGCCATCCTTTAAATTTGAAAGTCTGTAGTACAAAAGGTATGTATTTTTTTTTTTATTACAACTTTTTTTTTAAATCCAAAATTACAACTTTATGTATTTGTTGTTAACTATATGTCTATCATGAAAAAAAAAATAAAAAAATTTGCCCCCCCTAATTTATTTTTCTAGATCCGTCCCTGGTTCTAGGTTATGTATATGTTTGCAAATTAATAGAGATACATTTTTTTAATACTTATCCACATGGAAGAAATAGAGAAAAAGATTAATGAAAAATAATTAAGGATTAAAAATAATTCATATCCCTAAATCGAGAGAGAAAAAACAAAAAATGAGACTTATAAAATTGAGAGATATCTTACACTAATTTAAGTAGATTTAATATAATAGTATAATATTCAACTCGAAATTTCATAACTCTCAAGTTTTAAATACTAACGCATTAAAAAAAAAAGGGAAATTTAATTAATTAATTACCTTGTACCAGGTAATAGGTGAAGGAGTTGCATTTGCGTCAACCCACTTGACTTTCTTTGACCCCTCTTCAGTAAACAGTTGCATTTTCTCGCCTGCTACACCAACCTGCACATTTTTTTAAAAAAAAAATATTAAAAAATAATAATAAAACAGTTACTATTATAACTAATACTAAATTTTATTGCATCTCAAGTTTCATATGTGTTTTTATTATCACAAAGTTAATTACCTCTTGGCCCCAATAGTTACGGGTAATATCAAGAGTCCCCGACATGAGTCCTTCAAGCGTGATAATTTTAGGCCCCGCAAACCTTTTCTCCATATATGCACCACTATTCTACAAATTGGCAAACACACTAAATATTAAAAAATAAAAAGAGAAAAAAAATATATATTTCACTTATTGATTTTACTTTATTATGATGAAATAATTTAGGCTTGACTTACCGGCAAACCAACTGTCATTGCTAGTATCGATATCTCATTATCACCGGTCTTCAAATTGACAGTGTTTTTGAAAACGTGGCTCTTTTCAACATTGCTACCGTGCCCAAAACCTTAATCACATTCTATTAGTTAATTATTTGGAGATAAATTAAATAATTTTATTAGGAGAATTTTGTATTTATTTAATTTATTTGTATATATATATATATATATATATATATATATATATACGTACCTACGTATTCTCCATTGACGAATGCAAGCATTGCATGTCCAAGACTCGCGACCTGAAGCACCGGAAGAATATCGGGACGCCTTGGCATGTCACGCCTTTCCAAGTTGATTCTAAACAAAAAGAAAAATTAAAAATAATAATAATAATAAAAAAATTTTACGTTGTTTTTCAATTTACTCCTTTTACAATTAAATTTCGGAACAATGAACCTATATTATGATCGAAAATTAGGTTTTGCATGCATACCTGGTGCTGTACCATGCATAATCCGAGGTATCTTTAGTGAAATGGTACAATTCCTTTGGTGACTTGCTCTTTACCTCTAAATCGTGAGGGCTTGGCACGCTTTCTTTGTACATTTCCCATTTAGTAAACTTTGCTTTCTTTGAGGGTACGAAGTTTCTCGCACTGTGTTGTGCCACAACCTATGACGAAAATTATATTTACGAATCATTTATAAGTCGTACAAAACGAGCTGAGCCAATTTCAGTTCGACTCAACTAAACGAGCCAGTAATCGAGCTCGAATTCGGCTCGTTTATCAGTAATGACGAGTGAAACTTGAGCTTTAACGAATCAAGTTATAAAAAAACATATAAAAATTTTAATTTTTGAGTCTTAACGAACCGAGTCGAGCCTTAATGAATAGAAGCGAGTTCACAAACAACTTTTTTCATTTAACAGGCGTAAAATAATGTGCATAACTAATCATAATAGCGGTAAAAGAAATAAGAGCTTTTTATTTATTTTTACCGTTTGAGTGTTGTAAACTACAGTGCGACAATCAGGTAAAATGCTGATGGATTTAGCTGGCAAGAAATAGTCAACGCCCCTGAAGTTAATAGTCGCGTCCTCCCTTGAATTGTTGTTGGTCAAGAATGCAGCACAAATTTTTGTTCCTTCCTTCTCATAAGTCGTGATCTGATATTTAAATAAAATAGAAAAAAAAAATAGCAATATTTAGTTTATCCATGAGGTCAATAATAATATTTATTTTATTCTTTATTACTACCAATTCAATTACCTCTAAGTCTTCACTAATCTTTTGAATGTGTTGAGTGCCCCAAAACAATGGCTTTTTGCTCAACCTCAGTGCCCTGTGCAAGTCCCTCAAGTGCCCGAACTTTGGTTCCCTCTTCAAACCTTTAACAATTAATTAAAACCAATTTTAAATGATTTATTTACTATTTTAATAAATAATTGACAATAGTATATATATATATATATTTAATTAATGTGTTTACCAAATTCATCTAGTGGGGCTTCATCATAGTAACGGGTTGTCACGAAAGATGAGCTCGTTCGCCCAAAATTGGTCCCACCATGGTACTATAAAAAATAATAATAAAATAAACTCAATTAATATTAGTAAAAATGGGGTCATTTGATAAGGAAAAAAAATAAAGGACAAATTAATATGCCAGTGACTTCACAACAGTAATCGAGTTTTTTAACGTTAGATCAACAAATATAAACACGTTCTATCAAACATTTGTTTATTCAAACGCAAAAAATCAGATGACTACAGTGAAATAAGAAAGATTTAAATGTTCCATAAACAACATACCATGTAATAGTTGTTGAGGGTTCCATTCCTTGCAAAGAATCGAGCAACGGAAAATGCAAGGTCCTCAGCCGCCCGTTGAGAAGGCGGGTCGCCGAAGACTCTGTACCTGCAATACGATTACCCTCGAGTTTAAGTATAATTACATAAAAGACCCCTAAAAGTTTTGCTTAATTACAAAAATAAATAATAACAAAAATTCATAAACACCCCCTTGAGTTTTGTTTTCAGAAATAGTGCAATTTGTCGAACAGAAACAAAGATTTTGGGGTGTATTTGATATTCATCGAAATTCAGCGTAATATATTTTATTCTTGAAAGAATGACAACATTACGTACTGGGCCGTCCAATTCTCGGTCCAGAGAGAAGGCTTGTCGGGCCCATTTGGACCTGGGAAAGTGTCACCACATTGTCTTCCATTGCAAGTACTAATCTAAGACATTCATAAAAAAAAATATAAAATGTCACCCCATATGCCATTATAATTAACATCAGCATTTTACCAAACACACACATTGTATGTTGAATGATAATATACCGAAATATTCAATTTTTACTGTTCTTGTGATGTGTCCCTTTGGTCTTAGATAGGGGTGTAAATGAGTCGAACCGAGTCGAACATTGTTCTTTATTGAGCCATGCTCGATTTTTAATTTGATTCCCGCAAATGTCTTGCTCGAAGCTCAGCTCAACGACAAAACACAAACGCTCAAGATAGACTCGAGATCGACTTGAATGTTGTCAGCTCAAGTTATTTGGCTCGAAAAATTTAATTAAAATTGTCTAATGAAGGGTATTTAGGTAATTCGAGATACGTTAAGCTGCTCGTTGAGTGCTTGAACGTAGTACAAATTACAGGCTTTCGAAATTGAAATAACTACAGGCTTTCGAATTTGAAATGCTCGAGTCGAGCTTTGATTCAAATGCTTGCGAGCTCGACTCGTTTGAAGTCCTAACATGAGACAAGAGAGTCATAGTCAAATAGGAACTTACAACTGTCTGAGGGGCATCCTTTTGCTTGCACATGACCCATGGCACACCATTGTGTAGGCCCACAGCTAAATCTGCGGCCCACTTAACATAGTTTTGACCGGCTTCTTTGTATGCGAGTTGGACATTGTTGTATTCGTTCTCAATCTGAATGAGTATGAAAATAGTTAATTATTAGCAAATTTTTGGTGGAAAAAATTATGTG